CTCACTCATAGGCGGGTGATGAAAAATGAGAACACATTTTTCTCATTTTTCTCTGGAGGGCCAGTGGGAGGGGAAGTTGGGGAGGGATAGCCTGGGGACAAATGCCAAATGTGGGTGAAGGGGAGAAAGGAAGCAAAACACACTGCCATGTGTATACCTATGCAACTGTCTTGCACATATACCCCCAAACCTAAAATGCAATAAAAAAAAGAGAAAAATAAAGTAAATCCATATATAACCACATAAATATATTTTTTAAAAAGGAGGCAAAGAACATTTAATACGTAATCTCAATAGCTTTTTCCAATAAACCTTCCCAAAACAAAGAAAGAAAGAAAGATCTTGAGGCCGAAATTTGAGAAAAATTGGCTTTAAAAACTTGTTTTCCGGGCAGAGCGAATTCCTTTATTTGCATCTGTCTCACTCCCCTTCTCTTGCCCTGCAACCTTATTAAGAACTGGGATGAACTGAATAATACCACCCTCATCCTATGATTACCATTATTCTTGGCATCCCAAAATAAAGCCCATACAGGGACTCTTAGACGAGCTTTATCACCATTAAAATCTTCAACCTCGAAGTTTATTCAGCTTATCAGCTATAACTGGGATAATGGAAAGATAGGGATTTAGTGACAGTCTTTAGCTGGGCTAAGCACTAAATCCTAAATTCTACCTACTTAAGATTTAGTGCTTAGCCCAGTTACAGGTCCAGAACTTTCTATGGACTCTCTCTTCTCAGCATATGTTTGATTTATGAATTCAGTTCAATTAGTAGATCTCTAATGATCCTTTACTTGTGCAAATAACCATGGAGAATTCAAAAAGTGTTTAAGATGGGAATTTGCCCTTGAGTAAAATAAAGCCTAATTGGAAAACCAAGGGCTGATTCACATTAAAAAGTAGTAAGTGACTGTCTGAGTCTGGCTAGGGTATGTCTCACACACTGGCTGATACTTACTTGAAATTGTTCTATCATAGTTTCATGTTTTTAATTCAAACTTTTGCTCCTTCAAAATCCAAGTGACTGCCCGTCCTGCTCACCTTAGAAACACTTTCCTCTAGGCCAGCGGTTCTCCACCGACATCAGCGTCACCTGGGAGCTAATTAGAAATGTGAATTCCCAGGCCCTGCCCAGATCTACTGAATCTGAAACTCTGGGAGCGGGGGAACCAGCAACCTGTTTTACCATCTATCTCAGGTGGTTCCAAGTCATGCTACAGGTTGAGATTCACTGGTCTAGGAATTTTACTCTAATCCCCGAAATTGGACTAAAGGCTTGTGGAGGACACAATGTAGTTTTGCCCAAGCACGTGCATTTCGAAGGAATGACAATCAAAAGATTCAATGGCTGGTAAACAGAAGACCCTCAAGGTTTCAGTACCGTGTTGGTTTGAATTAATACCCTTTGATGGAAGACTAAAAACAGATGGGTAAAAGATTGCCCCAACTCTCAAAGATGAACTGAGGAAGGGCCAATGTTTTCTGTAAAAGTAATGTGGAGGTGACTACAAGAAATGGCCAAATGATTCATTAGAACTTAAAAGTTCTGACCAGGCGTGGTGGCTCACACCTGTAATCCCAGCACTTTCAGAGGCCGAGGCGGGTGGTTCGCAAGGTCAGAAGTTCAAGGCCAGCCTCGCCAATATGGTGAAACCCCGTCTCTACTAAAAATACAAAAATTAGCTGGGCATGGTGGTGCGTGCCTGTAATCCCAGCTACTCCAGAGCCTGAGGCAGAAGAATTGCTTGAACCGGGACCCAAGAGGCAAAGGTTGCAGTGAGCTGAGATCATGCCATGGCACTCCAGCACTCCAGCCTGGGCTACAGAGCGAGACTTCATCTCAACAACAACAACAACAAAGAACGTAAACGTTCTACAGCACACTTCGGACTACCAGAATTGAGCTGGAAATATGTTTAAAGTTGCCAATACTTAAATGTCCTTCTCACTAATTGGAGGGTGGGAATGGATGGACGATGTCCTAATAAATTTTATAAGGCTTTCAATTTTGTGTCATCAAAATGCTTTCCAGAAATAAGCCAAAGAATAGACCAGCCACATAAGAGTAAAATAACGGACTCTGAGGACTTGGCTGGGGGGAAGGTTGGGAGTCGGGTGAGGGATAATTTATTACATATTGAACACAGTGTACACTGCTTGAGTAAAGAGTGCACTAAAATTTCAGCAATCACCACTAAAAACTTCTCCACCAAAAAGCACCTGTACACGCAAAACAATTTTTTAATTGTTTTAAGTAAAAAAAGAATAGGCCAGCAATAGCGTATGAGAATATTTATCAACCCTTTCACATCTTTGGGGGTTATAAAAATTTTAATATTTACTCAGAGGTAAAAATGGCATTATATCAGTGTTTAGCATGCATTTCTTTGATTACTGTTGAAGTTGGACATTCAAAAATAGTTATGAATTTTTTGTCTTCTTTTACAAATGCCTCCTTGTATCTTTTACATATTTTTAATAAGATACTTTTCAATTGCTTAGTAAAATGTCATGTAGAAAATAAAAGATTTTTCTCTAGTTGTTTTTAATCTCCTATCTGTATACACACACACACATGCACACACACATATGCACACACACACACACACACACACACACACATATAGACAGCTTTATATTGTCAGTTCTTTTTTTCCCCATATGGTTTCATTCAATGCTTTCGTTTTTCTTAAATTTTTTTAAACCAAGATTAGAATATGTTTGCCTGCATTTTATTTTAACGTCCTTAAAGAATGCCAGAGTGGTTTCACATTGTTTTTACATTGATCTCTTTAATGTACTACAACTTATTTCAGTGCGTGGTGTGAGTTAAGTCTCCAGCTAGACTTCTTTCCTGAATGAAATAGATGACTTTCCAAATACTCTTTGGTAAGAAAACCTATCCCTTATATAGCTTTAGGATGCTTCGCTGTGAAATGTTAAATTCATGTTTCTGTTTCAAGATCATTACACTCAGCAGTTTATCTGTGAATTCTAGAGTCTGTGCAGGTTTCTAGGAACACATTGTTTTGAAATGCATTCAAAACAATGTTATGAAATACCTAGCATTTCACAGGGAGCATTCACAACTGCAGTTCCTTTTTTTCCCCTAATCTCAACTGTTTCTTTTTCCAGATGAACTTTGAAATTATTTTGTCAAATTGCAAAGAAAATCATTTTGGGACCGGAATTAGCCATTTTAAACCCTCATATTAAGTTGAAAAACTCATATTTCTGTAAAATATTTAGTAGATAGATTCAAAAATTGGTTAAAAATCATTATGTATTGCTGTCCATTTACAAAGTGTACGTATTTTTTAAGTAGAGGTTACACAACTTTCTTGCAAGGATTATTCCTAACAGTCTGTTTTTCTAATGCTGGTGTAAATATAACTTCTTAGTTTTATTTCTAATTATTTCTGGTATTTAGGAAACTATTGATTTTTTAAATATTTATCTTCAATTTTTTTCTGTCTAAGCAGATGCTCAGGTGAGTAGCAAGATGCTAGTCTAGCCAAAGGACAGACAAACATACTGTTTCATGAGTAGAGTGGGCCAGGGATGGCAGACCCGCTGTTTGGAAGCTGTGCACACCCAGTGAGACTTCTCCCTTCACCATCCTTGGCTTACAGGAAGGAGGAGGAGATACACACAGGAGTTAGTGGTAGAATCAAATCTTCATTATTGCTTCTCAGTAAAGGCAAGAGGTGGCTGCTTGGCTTTGAATCATGAAAACAGAAAAAATATATTTGATATTCTACTACATAGCATCACAGACAGACACAAGCATTCATATATACACATTCTTTCATAATTTAATAACATTTTCTCCACAGCTCTAATACACACACACACATTAGTCCCTAGATACTAGATTGAGAGATTTCTTCCTGCCACTGTTATCCAGTTCTCTGAATAGTATGTAAATTTAATCAGGACGAACACTGAACTGGATTTCCTCAACTCCTCCTTCCTCCCTCACCTTGCACAGCAAGTCCCACTGACTCTTCTTCCAAACATCCCCTGACCCTGGTGCCTTCTCCCCACTCCTCTGCAGCCTCCCCCATCTCTCTCTCTTAAGCTGCTGCAGTGCTCACTGGGGCTCTCCCTATCTGTCCCACACCCCTACCATCCATTTCCACACAACGGACAGGAGGATCTTGTAAAACAGAAATCAGATTTTGTGACTCATCACTGAAAACCTTCCAACAACTTCCCATTGGCCTTGGAATAAAGTTCAGGCTTGTTGCTGTGGCCACCCTGGCATGTGAGGTCTCCCCTGTCTCTTTTACCTCATCTGAGCCACTCTCTTTGAAGGTCTCAGCCACCAAGCTCCATCTACTTGGCCTGGACAGTTCCTCCAACAAGATGAACTCCTTGCAGTCTCAGCCTTTGCTTTCCCTATTCCCTCTACCCAGAATGTGACCCATTGGAACTTCTGGCCAGCTTCTTCCACAAATTCATAGTATTGCATTGTATGGATGTACTGGGATTTATTTAAATATGCTCCTCTTAATGCGTATTGTTTCTTATTTTCTTGTTATTCTGGCAAATGATGCCAAAATCGAGATTCTTTTTTTTTAAGAGATGGGACCTTGCTATGTTGCTCAGGCTGGTCTCCAACTCCTGGCCTCAAACGATCCTCCTGCCTTGGCCTCCCAAAGCACTGAGATTACAGGCGTGAGCCCCTGAGCCCGCCTGAAATCGATGCTCTTATACAGATATTTGCACAAATGCGGCCTACACCCACTTGCTGTCCTTTGGCTTGGTTGCATTGCAGGTGAAGGTAAATTTGGTGTGGTCATATCGTCTGCTTCTCAGTCATGTCCTTGATGGCTTCTGGGCTTTAAGGTTGAGAAAGAATTTCACTGGGAAATAGTGGAGTTAAAGAGGACATATCCACATCCTCTCCCAGTCTTTTCTTGGTTTCAGGTTTTAGGTCCATGCCTGTCCGGGGCCTGGTGGGGAAGTCCTGGCGTGGTGCCCCGACCTCTTCACCTGGAGAAAGGCCCTGTCCTCTCTGGAGCTCGGACCCCGCAGGCGCGGCCCGGGAGCCGCACCGGGAGTCGGTCTCCTTCCCACAGCCACCCTCGTGAGACCAGAGGTCGCAAACAGTGAACAAATAAATGGTCCAAGTGCCCCATCTGCTGCCAGGGTCGCACTGTGCCTGGCTGTGACCGCGGGGAGCTCCAAAGCTGGGACTCCGGGGAAGCACCGGGCCCCCTCCGCCCGCCCGGGCCGGGACAGCGATCCGAGGTGGACCCAGACCGGGTGGGGCGTGCGTTGGCGGCGGTGGCCATTGCCGGCCTGCGACCTGGAGCCGGTCTGCGGGTGTTTGCGCCGGTCGTCGCGCGCGCCTAGTGGCCTTTTTAGGTACTTTCCCCGGAACTTGGCGGAGGGGCCCTCCTGGGCGCGCGGATTCCCAAGTCACCTCCACGCGCAGTCTCATCACTGCGATGGGGGCGGCGTTTCTCTCCCTCCCTCTCGAAAGTTTAGGTCCACGCAAAAGTCCTAAACATGTTTCCAGTAAGACCTGTTAAAAGGTGAAGCCTTTAAGGATAGAGACGCAATGGGCGTCTCAGGCAACATGGTCCTAAGTGGCAAGGTATTTGGGCATGAGACAGATACAGGGGCCGACCTCCTGTACCTCCACGGGTCTTTCCACGCCACTCTGGGAAGAGGGCAGGACAGGCGTGGGCTGGGTATGGGTCCGGGCAGACAGCGACCACAGGGAGGGCACTGCAGCCAGGCACAGGCTGGAGACCGCCCAGGATCCAGCAAATCAGAGCATCCTCACTACCGGAGCCAGCCCGAGACCATACGCTGGTCTCTTGCCCGTGAGTTCTCGCTTTTTTCTTTTCTTTCCTTTCCCCTTCCTTGACGGGTTCTCGCTGTGTCGCCCAGGTTGTAGCGCAGTGGCGCGATCTCAGCTCTCTGCAGCCTCTGCCTCCCGGGCTCCCGCGCTCCTCCCGCCTCACCCGAGCAGTTGGGACCACAGGTGCAGCCACCACACTGGCCTCTGCATCCATGTCCTGTGCAATCCCCCATGAGAGGGAGGTCAGAGACTGCGGCCAGGCCTCCTGGTTCTGGGTAGCACAGCAGGGCCCTGCCAGGCACTCCCCCGGGCGACCTCCCATGCTCTTGGTCAATGAGCAGGAGCCGTGGGCCTGGCTATGCTCCGAGTGCTGAGATAGGACCCAGATCCCGGCCGCCTTCCTTCACGTGGGAATTGTTCCAAGTTCCCCTTCCAGAGACAAGAAAGGGTCTCTGCATATGCACATGAGGGGGCCAGGAAATGCAAGCGCAAGCGGGCCGGGGTGAGACCTGGCGTCTGGTGGGGCAGTCACATGCCTTCCCCCTCCTGCAGGTCCCTCCTGAGGACCTTGGCCCAGTGGTCAGGTGCCTCCACCCCCTGCAGCCGCTTCTTTTCCTGGCTGTGTCCCCAAGCTGGCCTCCAATTCCAGCCTCAGGCCCTACTCCTGCCTCAGCCTCCCGAAGTGCGGGGATTCCAGGCATAAGCCACCACGCCAGAGCTGGAAGCCAGTATTTTAATCTGTGAATTAGTCTAGCACTCTGGGAGAGTCTCCTCATCCTGTCTCCCAGTGTCCTTAACGACCCAAGACTGAGTCCTGTCTATCCTTCCTCCAGTAGGAATTCCCAAAGGCTTCTCTCCATTTCCATGACCCCCAACCCACTGGGCCCTGAGGGGGTGCACTACAGGCAGAGGAGGGGCAGCCAGAGGCCAGCTCACACTTCTGTGACGTGATCCCAGAGAGTCACACAAGCTCCCCTCCTGCTGCCAAATTGCAGAAAACCCAGAAGCCTCCCCAGCTCATCCCTGGCTAGGGTCAGCCTGGTCCTCTCCTGTTGGGTGAGGACAAATGAGGTCATGGAGACATCAAGAGGCCACACATGGGATCAAGGCCACAGAAGGACCAAGTCAGTCTTCTGCCTAGGAATCAGGGGCTCCCTGGTGGAGTCTGTTGGTCTGGAGAGATAGTTTCTAGTCCAGTGGGAGGTGACGAAGGTCAGAGCTAACAGGGGTCACTCACTGCAGCTCGTTAGGCTCCTTTTATGCCAGCAGGTCCCTGTGACACCAGGAACAAGAAAGAGATGGTCACAGCAGGGAAAGGACAGGGCTCGGAGGAGTGCAGAGGCTGGGTCCTGAGGCCACAGCAGCCCTGGTTCCTAGAGGAGAGGGAGGCCTGAGGAAACCCCTGGACATTGGAGCCCTGGAAGTGTGGGGAGGAAGCACTAGAGGCGTGAGGACAAACGGGGACCCTGTGGACTCAGTGTGTTACACTGGAGGTCAAATGAGGGAACAGTGGAGTTCCGCATTTAGTGGAGGAACAGAGGCCCTGCTCACCGGGAGGCCAGAGGGCCTCAAGGACCAGTGGAGCTGGATGCTCCTGGGGTACCCTAGGGAAGGTCCCTAGAGAGAGACCTGGCTCAGCTGGGCCCTCCTCCCCCTCCACTCCAGACCATCTGCTTCCTCATCCATAGCTGAGTTTTAACCCCACCCCCACCACCATCTGAATGCCCACCCCTCCCCCTCCCCTCCAGGACCAGGCCCTCCACTTACCTCTCCCTTTCTGTCCAGGGGAGCCCTGAGGGCCAGGAAGGCCTGGATCCCCATTCTCTTCCTGCTCCCCCAGGGGGCCCAATCAGTCCAGTGAGACCTGTGTGGCCCCTAGAGTTGGGAGCAGGTGGTCAGGGGGACATCATCACATGGACAGCGGAGAAGGACCAAGACACAGAAAATGCCCCAGGCACAGGGTCTGCGGGTGTCCCTGAGCAGGGACCCTGAGGCCTGGGGCCTGGAGCGGAGCAGGACCCTCCAGGTCTCACAGGCCTCAGGGCTGAGGGGGATGGGAGGCACACCAGCCTGTGTGGCTGTCACTTTCCCCTTCTCTCCCTCAGCTCAGCATTGCCCCCAAGGCCAGGAAGCCATGGGGTCCCTCTGGGGAGACGGGAAGTCCCTCTCTTCAGGGAAAGGTGGAAACCGTTCTCCCATAGTCTCCCACTTCCGGCAGGGCATTGGCTCACCCCTCACCACCCCATCCCGGTCGCTCATCACAGGACCGGAAGGCCCAGCCCGGCCTGTGACTCCAGGTCGGCCTTACTGACTCTGCAGATTCCAGGGGACCTTAGGGCTGGGGAGGAGCACCCACACACTGCAATCCTCCCGGGCTGTTTACCCCCCTCCCCAGCCACAGCCCTCCCTGCAGTGACTCACACTGAGTCCCAGAGTCCCTCAGACCATCAGCACCAGGCCTTCCTGCTGGGCCTGTCTTCCCCAGGGCACCCACGGCACCCGGAGGCCCTGAAACACACACAGGGAATGTCTGGAGGGCAGCAGAGGGGGTGTGAACTGAGGCAGGGGTTCAAGGTGGAAGGGGTGAGCCAGGGAGGAGGGGCTGAACCCTGGAGCCCTGGGGTCACCAACAGCTATAGGAAACCCTGTGCCCAAAGGGGCTCAGCATGGGGCAGGTGGGTGGGGATGGGTGGACATCTGGAGACAGAGGTGCCTGAGGGGCAGGAAGGCAGAGGGGAGGCTCCAGCACCCAGGGGCGGCCTCTCCCTCACCTGGGCTTCACTCCTCATCACCTCTGGGATCCAAGCATGCCGGCGGGCCCCCACAGGTGGGATGGGAAGGGAGAGAGCATGAGGTCCTGGGGAGCCAGGCTCCACACTTCCCCTTCCTGTGGTACACACACACGCATACACACACAGGCACACACACTGCACAGATACACACACTGTAGACACATTACGCACACACACAGATGCAGAGGCCCCACTGTGAAATGGGCAGGCATCTCCCTACCCATCTCACCTGCCATTGCCTGTTCTTCACCACAGGGGCCGGGGACGGCCTCCCAAGGTCCCAGAGTCCACCTCACTCACCCACCTGCCAAGTGGTCCAGGGGGTCCATTTCTCCCCAGCAGGACCAGGGGATCCCTAGGGAAAGTGGAATTGCAGTGGGTGAGTGGCCTCTAGCCAAGGGACCCTTCAGGAGTGAGGCACAGAAGAGGAGTAAGGGGCTGAAGGCTGGGGCTCAGTGGGGATGGCGGGGTCACTGGTCATTCACAGGCTGCCCTGGTTCACTGTCCTGGCTATAATCACCCTTAGCACTGTCCTGGCACTGCAGGGGTGAAACAAGGCCAGAGGTGGCCCCAACCTGGCTGGCATCACCCCTAAAACTGCCAATCCTCCCATCACCCTGCTGGTCCTGTCATATCCCCTGCTTCCCAGCACCCCAGCCCTTTAGCCACACGGAGCCTCCTCACAGAAACCCCACCCTCCTTAACCCTTCCCCTTCCTTGGAGGTAAGAGAGGAAGAGGTAAGAGGGGAAGGTCTGGAACAGCAACTCCTGGCTGCAGAGGAGTTCCAGCTCAAGGAGGTCACAGGAAGAAAAGTGGGGTGCAGTGAGAGGGTGAAGGAGATTGGGAAGATGTAGAGCCCTGGAGCTGTCACTCACCTTGAAACCTGGCTCACCCTGGAGATCCTGACTCTCCTGGCTCCCCCATGCAGAGATTGAGGTCAAAAACCTCTTTCCCCCTCTCAAAAAATTTTGGTATTTCACACATCTTATTCTTTTCTTGTCTCCCCAACCAAAGTTGGCAGAAATCCAACTTTCATCCCTCACCCAAAATACTTGTCCATTCACCCCTTCCCAGTGACCATCTCTCCAGGGGGACCCAGGTTCTCAATGCCTCCCAGGGCACCTTGTGGCCCTGGAGGAGACACAGAAATAGAAGTCATTGCTTAGGGGCCATTCCTGGGACAGAGGCTGGGATGAGAACTCCAGGGTCACCGCTGTGAGACAGCGGAGGCCTTCCCAGGGAAAGGGCTTCTCTTGACCCCTGAGAAAAGACTAGAGTGTATGACCTGGGGAAAGGGAGGCAGAGGGCCATGCACATCAATCAGGAGGACCCTAGGGACAGAGGTGGGCTGAGTCAGGAGCCTGGGGCAGGGTCTGGGGTTCCCGCTGGGGTGAGGAGGGAGCTGGCTCACCCAGAATTCCTGAGAGCGCGGAGAGAGAGGACACTCACAACCACACCCCTATGGGGGAAACAGAGAGGAGGAGGAGCTTCTCCCCAGCTGTCCCCCAGGTCAGGGGCTTAAGGGAGAGCTGGGGCTCTGTGGGCAGGGGGCAGAAGGCCCACTCATCTTAGCTCCAGACTTCCCAGTGGCACCTTGGGGACCCCGCTGACCCTGTGGACCCTAGAGTGGGGAGTGGGGTTGTCAGAAAAACACAAACAAACCCCTTTGGATGTTGAGCCCCTGTTTCTCTCCCTTGCACTTACCATGAGGCCCCGTTCTTGCCAAGGCCCTGGTGGGAAGGGAGTAGACATCCCCTGGGGTATGACTGCCCACAGAGCCTTTCCAGCCTCTCCCACCCTTCCCCCCACACCCTCTCCCTGCCCCCCAGCTTCCCCAGGCT